CGGTAGGCGAAGGCTGAGGGGGCTCAGCACCCAGGTCTTCCGCACACTCAGCCAACACGCCAGGCCCCCAGTCCTGTCCCAGGGGAGTTGCTGACCACCCTCCCAGAGAGGAGGACAGATGTGCTCTGCTGTCTCGACCCCAGCCTTCCTCCTTGCCTGCATTCACAGGCCCTGGGGGGCTAACCCAACCCTCTTGGCTGTGTGGCTAGTGATAAGAATCCAGATCGCTAGCATGTGCGGAGCATTCTAGTGCGTCCCAGGCCCTGTGCTGAGCGCTTTTCACTCATCCTCTCATTTAACCTCGGCAGTAACTCTCTGAGCTGGGCATTAAAGCCCCTCTCCAGATAAGGGCGAGGTGAGCTCAGATCTAAGAGCGGCTCTCATTCTGCTGCTCGGCTTCCCTGCCCTGACACCCTTCCTGGGGATCCCCCAGCTTTCAGCGCCCTTCCTTCCCTCTCTTCTCTGGGGCGTCACCCCTGCCCCGAAGCACTTCCTTCTCCTGACTCACCACCCCATGATCGGAGGCCCTTCCCCCTCTCTCCCTGGCAGTCTGAGCCTGGCACTTGGGCTCAGCCCCAGTCCTGGGCCCGTCGGACCGGCCGTGCTGGGGATCTTTATTCTGCTTCCTCCATCAGCAGGGACTGTCCCAGCTTCTTCCTTCCCACCATGTCTCATGGGGCACGCTTCATTGCAGGGCCACACCTGCGCAACACTCAAGACTCTCAGTGTCTCCAGCACAGACACCTCTGTGGACTCTAGACCCGTCTCCAGCAACCTTCTGGACCCCGCTTACCTGCACTGATGCCCCCCCCCCCCATGCCGATTCCCTCCCTCATGCATGTTCAGCAGGCATGCAGTCCAATCCCATCATCTGCTCAAGTTCTGCCCATGTGACCTTCCCTCTCTGGCCTCCAGCCTCACAGATTCTCCCTGGAACCCAGCTCCCCGCCTCCTGGCCGACACCTCGGACCCATCACCCACCCCAAGCCCAGGCCACTGTTTAACTTACGGATCTGCCTTGCCTGCAACTCTTCATGGATCTTGGAGCCTGCAGCCAGGGTCTGAAACTTTGTTGTTCAGGTGCCCCATCTGTAAAATGTTGTCGAGCACGTGTCCCCCAATATATATTCACCCATTTACTAATTCTAGACACGTTGCCAGCCTTCAAGATGGCCTCCAATTATTCACCTCCCGCATTCACACCCTTGAGCCATGCCTTCTGCACGGCATGGGGCTGACCCGGGTCACCACGAGGATACCGTGGAAATGATGGAGAGTTAACTCTGAGGGGAAGTAATTGCGGCTCGTGTCTTGGGCTCCCTGAATCCCTGGCCCTGGGGGGAGCCAGCCGCCCTGTTGTCGGGACACCCAGCAGCCCCACGGGGAGGCCCACATGGTGAGGAGCTGTGGGTGGGTCACTTTGCACTGGGTTCTGCAGCCTTGGTCCAAGTCTTCAAAGGAAAGTAGCCGAGATGACGTCCGGCCTCCAACCTCCTGAGAGACCCGCCCCAGAACCAAGAGGCTCAGCTCTATCCAGATTCCTGGCCCTCAGGAGCAGAGCGAGATGTTTTAAGTTGCTAGGTTGTGAAGAGACCACCTTGTTGCAACAAGTCACTAACAGGAGTAGAAGTCTGAAGACTAAGGATACAAATGTATATAAGTGACTTGCTAATATTTTCTTGCCACACTCCAAGTGGATGATCTTGAGACCCCCTGGGGTTCACGTTCCCCATGTTGGAGGCGCTGAGCTTCCGAATAACATTCCCAGATCAGCAACCTGAGATCCAAGGCTCTCTGGGTGGCCCCCACTACTTCTCAGGTCGTATCTCTTGGACTGCTCTTTCCTCTACCTGGGGTCACTTGTTACTGCTGATGAAATCCTACCTGCTTTTATAGGCTGACATGATAGAGCCCCTTTCCAGAGCCTTTCTTGATTGCGCAGGAGGTGGGAGTGCCAGGTTCCTGGCCCAGCCTCCCTGGACTGCCCTCCTAATGAGCTCCACAACCTGCAGGGACGTGTACTCAGAGGGGGTGGGGTCACTCTGTGCGAAGTTTGGTAGGCAGAGCTCGCAGGGTGTCCCCCAAGATCCCATGCTGTCATCCCTGGAACCTGGATATGATGAGCTATCACTCTCATGATTGTGTTATGTTATAGGTATGACCATATATAATGGTCATATATGACCATATATAATGTGTGCAGAGATGGCCTTAAGAAAAGATTTTCCAAGTGGACCTAATCTAATCACATGGGCCCCTTTAAAAGCATAGAGGAGGGGCAGCTGGGTGGCTCAGTCGGTTAAGCGTCTGCCTTTGGCTCAGGTCATGGTCCCGGGGTCCTGGGATCGAGCCCCGCATCGGGCTCCCTGCTCAGCGGGAAGCCTGCTTCTCCTTCTGCCCCTGCCCCAGCTCATGCTTGTGCTCACTCTCACTCTCTCTCTGAAATAAATAAATAAAATCTTTACCAAAGAAAAAGCATAGAGGAAGTCAGATCTGAAGCAAAAGAAAGATTCCACGTGCTGCTGCTGACTTTGAAGATGGAGGGGTCACGTGACAAGGAGCATGGGTGACCCACCGGGGAGGAGGGCAGCCCCTGGCTCACAGCCAGCAAGGAAGGGGGGACCTCAGTCCCACAGCTGCCAGGAACTGGGCTCTGTCAGCCACCCGAACATGTTAGAAGCATGTTCTTTTTCTCCTTCGCCTCCATTAACCAAAACAGTCCTGCCAGCACCTTGATCTCACCAGAGCAGAGGACCCAGTTGGACTGTGTTTTAAGCCACTAAGTTTGTGATACTTGGTTACTCAGCAGTAGAGAATTAACACATGAGGCTCTATGTCCCTGAAGACCTTGCATAATTTAAGATACATATTCTCCTTTTTTAAAGTAGGCTCCACGCCCAACATGGGGCTTGAACTCATGACCCTGAGATCAAGAGTCACAGGCCCTACCGACTGAGCCAGCCAGGCGCCCCCAAGATATATATTATTAAAGGAATAAATGTAAGGGGTGGGTGAGTTCTCAGCATAAACACACCACCATTGTGGCATAGTTTTCTTTCTGGCTACTTTTCTGTTTCTTCGGACTGTCTCTGGTATTTTGCAGGCGGCTCACTTGTAAATTAGTGGCCCGGTCGGTCAGTGTATCATGTTGTTCATCTGGCTTTCTGCACGTTGTTCTGTCACCTCGGACTCCCATTCTAAAGCTATTGGCTTTGGAGAGCATTTGTCAGCACCGATCTGCATCCTGCTCCCTTATCAGTGGGTTTGGGGTTCGTGGTTACAGGTAAAAACCAGATTTCAGAAACATCGTATTCCAGTGTAACACGCAAACAGAGGACGGCACAAATCCAAAGTGCACAGCTTTCTTCAGTTTCATAAATGGGACACGCCCATGCAACCGGGGTCCAGATAGAGAAGCTGAGTGTTTCTGTTACCCAGAAGCCCTCTTGCGCTACCTCCCCATCACTGCTTCTGCAAGAGGAACTACTATTGTGCCCAAAGCAGCATAGGTTTGTTTGCCTGAATAAACCAGATTGCGAGTGATGATATCAGAGAATGCTAAACTCACAGCCCCACAGTCCCCAAGATGACTGGCCACAGTCCCAGTGCGTGCAAACAACAGGGGACTTTTCAGGACACAGATGAGGGTGTGCCCAGGCCTTTCATATTTCATGCAAGGACCACGTTCCTGAGGTTTCATATACTGTAAAACTCTCATAATAAAGTCTAGTTCGGTCACTGAAATGACTGTAACATAAGGTTTGCACACCTTCTCATATGGGGCTTAGGCTAATTAACATCTTTAATATTGCCCAATTTCCAGTTTAGCATAATTCGAACCAACACACTCCTCCCTGAAACCCCCGTGGGGCTGTGAGGGTCTGCGCTTTAGCTTCTCGCGGACCCCAGGGCCCAGCCGAGGTGATGGTATGGGATCCCGGTTCTGGGTGTGGCTTGGGGGACAGAGCACAGGTCCTGGAGTCCGGAGGCTTACATTCGAGTCCTCCGTCTGCTCCTTCCTTGCACTTTACAACCCTGGGTAAACTCTTACCTGCTGGACCTGTTCCCTCATCTGCAAATGGGACTGGGGTTCATGAGAGGAGTTCCCAGATGAGAATCCTTGGGCACACAGTAGGAGCCGATGGGAGCTTGTTGGCACCAGTCCCAGCTGGGGTGGGAAAAAACTGCTCACCTGTCTCTCCCCGCACCACCCCCATGCTGCCTGGAGGACTTTGCTCCCTGGGAGAGTGAAGCCAGCGAGCCCCAAGCCCAAGAGCCTGGCCGCTGAGCCTCCACGGGACTCAGATGCCAGGGTCAGAGCCCGGATTGGGCAAGAGCAGAGCATGCGGCTCCCTCTTCCTGGCCAGGGATGTTTGGAAACACCAACAATTCTGGGAAATTTAGCAGCAGGAAGTGAAAGGAGGCAGAGTGCATGCTCCCCTGGCCGCTTCTGGCCTGGCTCCCCATCCCAAATCCTGCAGAGATTAGTGGAGTGACTGGCAGGGGTGTAAGGGGGAGGGGGACAGACCAGGAGACTCCCCCTCCCTGGGGAGGAAAGCAGGGGCGACCCATCCCCCACTCGCACTCCACACATCCCCTGAGTTCCAAATCCTTTTTCACCTCTGTTTACTGTCCAAAGTCCCGGGCACTGGGGATGCCAGGTTCTGAGTGTTGGGACACACACACACACACACACACACACACACACGCGCGCGCGCGCGCACACACACACACACACGCGCGCGCGCGCACACACGCACACGCAGACACAAAGCGCTCAGGGCCCTCGTATGGACCCTGCTCCCTCCCCTCCCATCGTCCAGGGCTGTCCGCGCATCTCAAGTCTCCAGGCTACAGCCCCCTTCTTAGCCTAGGATCTGCACAGCATTGAGGGATCCAGGAACCAACCTCAAGACCGTCAGCAAGTAAAAGGGGAAGAAGGGCAGGGGACGGGGGACTGACGGGTGGGGTGGGCTGGGGGGGGTGCCGGGCGGGAAAACTTCAGAGGAAGAAGTCTGGATGTAGGCCTGGGAGCGAATGGGAGAAAGAAAGTTTTCCTATAGCCACCGATCACTTAGAAACGGACTGGACCCCACAGCCCGGCTCCGTTGGGCCCCAACCTCAGCCCTAACCCCAGCCTTGTCCCAGGCCCAGGTCCAGCCAACCCTACCATGACAAATGACTATCAAGATTTTCAGCATCTGGACAATGAGGACAATGACTATCAGCTCCGACAGGGTAAGGGGATGCCTCCTTCCGGTTCTGAAAGGTGAGCGTGAGGTGGCTCTTGAACCCTTGCCTCAGCTCCCCCTTCCTCCTGTGACCCCTGACCCTGTCCCTGGGTCTGCCCCACTCACCAGGAGATGGTCTGAGCCGTCCCCTCTTGGGGGAGGTGCCGGCTGTGGGGTTGGAGCCCCTTTCTCTGTGACGGGACTCCCAGGCCTCCGCAGGCCTCCTGAGCCCTGCCACGACACCCACTGCTCAGGAGCTTGCAGGGGGTGGGGGTGCGGATCCAGGGGCCCAGGAGTAACCGGAAGGGGTTAGGTCCCCACTTCTTCCCTTGAACACCTGGTGAGCCTTGGCCCCGTGTGTGAGTGAGGGTGTATGAGTGTGAGTGCCCCGGGTGCCCGGAGCCATTTGGTCAAGGGGTCGGACTTCAGTGAGGAGGCCAAGGGACCCAGTATCCAAGAAGGATGAGGCCCCCGTCCAACAGAAACAAGCCCCCCTTCTTTCTCCTGCGAGCAGGGATGCTGTTTGGGCTGAGCAGGAGGGGCCTTGGGGATGGGTGTGGGGAAGGGCTGCAGGTGGGGGCAACTTGGGGGACTCTGGCTACTCGGTCTTCTCTCCCTGAGCCCAGCCGGAGCAGTGGGGTTCATGGGGAGAGGAAGAACCCTCCGCCTCTTTCCTCCCCTTTCTGGGGTGGGGTGGGGTGGGGGAAGCAACCCCGTCCCCCCACCCGCTCCTCGTGCTCGGGCTGGCAAGCGCTAGGCTCGAGGAGGCTCATCAGCGTCTGTGACACAGGCCGGACACTAGGTGTCAGCAAAGGCTCAGGGCCCGGGCGGGTTGGGGCGGGGCCAAGCTGGGCGCCCCCCCCCCCCCCCCCCCGCTGCCCCTGGCCGCTCAGGGTCCTCAACCACCTGGATTTCTTAATCCCTACGGTTCCTCCTAGTCCTGGAAAGGAGTCTTAGCCCGCTGTCGTCCAGTGGCCCCAGAGCTGCCCGGGTGCCCCTGTGTCCCTGAGACCGCGATGCCCTCTCTTGCTAGTGCCACCCGCCTCGCAGCCGCTGTTTCGGAGGCTCTGCTCGGGACCCTGCCTCCTCCGGCTCTCCCTGGGCCTCGGCCTCCTGCTGCTGGTGGTTGTCTGTGTCATCGGATCCCAGAGTGGGTGTCCTGGCCTGGGAGTGGGCTGGGAGGGGAGTCGCGCCGGGGGCTGGGGCGGGGGCTGGGGCGGGGGTGGGAGAGGGCTGACTTCTGCGACAGCGGACGCGGCCCCCTCCCTCTGCCCGCTGCACACCGTCTCCCCCGCCCAGACTCCAGGCTGCGGGCGGAGCTGCAGGCCCTGAGAGAGACTTTCAGCAACTTAACAGCGAGCGCGGAGTTCGAGGTCAAGGCCCTGAGCAGCCAGGGTGAGGGGGCCTGGGGCTGGGGCTGGGGTGCCGTGGAACGCTAGGGATGCGGGCGTGGGGGCGCTGAGCAGGTGTCTCCCCCAGGAGGAAGTGTGGGCAGAAAGTTGAAGTCGCTGGAGTCCCAGCTGGAGAAACAGCAGCAGGACCTGAGCGAAGGTCAGAGACCCAGCACGTGTGATGCGGGGCTGCCCTCGGGCCAAACCCAGGGGTGTCGCGGCGCGCGTGAGAGACTCCCGCCCCCCGCCCCGCAGATCACTCGGGCCTGCTGTTGCACGTGAAGCAGTTCGTGTCGGACCTGCGCAGCCTGAGCTGTCAGATGGCCGTCCTCTACCGCAACGGTGAGGAGGCGGCGGGGGCGCGCGCGTGCTCGGCCGCCCCCCTCCCCGCCGGCCGCGCCTCAGCGCCACCGCCCTCCCCTGCCCCCCAGGCACGGCGAGGGCCTGCTGCCCGGTCAACTGGCTGGAGTACGAGGGCAGCTGCTACTGGTTCTCCCGCTCCGGGAAGTCCTGGGCCGAGGCGGACCGGTACTGCCAGCTGGAGAGCGCCCACCTGGTGGTGGTGGGCTCCTGGGAGGAGCAGGTGAGCGCCCGGGAGCTCGCGCGCAGGGGCGGGGCTGGCGGCTCCGGGGAGCGCTCACCACCCCCTCCCCTGTCCCCAGAAATTTGTCCAGCACCATATGGGTCCTGTGAACACCTGGATGGGCCTCACCGACCAGAGTGGTCTCTGGAAATGGGTGGACGGTACGGACTACGAGACGGGCTTCAAGTGAGTGTGCGCGCCCCCCGCGGCCCCGGGGCTCGGCTGGAGGGGGCTGCGGGGGGTGGGGGCGCACATCCGCTCGTCTCCGCAGGAACTGGAGGCCCGAGCAGCCGGACGACTGGTACGGGCACGGGCTCGGGGGAGGCGAGGACTGCGCGCACTTCACCGAAGACGGCCGCTGGAACGACGACGTGTGCCAGAGACCCTACCGCTGGGTGTGCGAGACAGCGCGCGAGCCGGCCAGCTAGGAGCCTCCTCTCCCGTAATTTATTTCCTCGGTGCCTCCACCTGCCCCGTGACCCTCCCGTCGGGGGGGGGGGTGGTGCTCCTCCACCGTCTCGGGGATGGCTGATCCAGGGTTTTAAGGGAAGGGGAAAGACGCTGTCTGAGGAACGTACAATCAGGTTTGGAGGGGCGGGGAGATCGAAACCCCTGTCACCTGCCGCAGCCTGCAGGGTATGGTCATCCTTTTTTAGAGTAAAAAAAGACCAGAAATACTCTAAACGTGCCATGCGTTGTCTGGTTATTGGGCATTAGGAATCAGGAGTGGGCTGGTTGGTGGGAAGCCTGGGGCAGGCCGCGGGACCTGGTGAGAACCCCATGGGCTTTGGTGCTTACAGGGATGGGAGTTAGGGCTCCTGTTCGGAGTCTCCCCGGTAAAGATGTCCTGTTGCTGGGGACCGCTGCACCTGCAGCAGTCCCCCTAGGACCAGAGTCACCCCGATGTGTCCAGTGCTTCAGAGGCTTTGAATGAAACTCACTGGTGTCTGCTGTGTGCATTACAGTGGACAGAGGCAGTATCCACAGACAGGCAACAAATACAGTGAACATGAAGATGAGCCTACCACCGAGAACCACTAAACCTGCAAAGAAAGCCAGAAAACCAGGAACGAGGCAGAGAAGGCCCCAAATAAACAGAATCCACAACCCAGGATGGGAGTTCACAGATTAAGACTTTGCAGACACTCACTGGATTCAGCAAACATTGAATCAACACAAAAGTAGAGACAGAGACACATCTATCAGCAAATGAAGGGCTCACCATCTTTCCGGATAACTTTGAGTATAAGAGAAAATAAAAGTGAAGCAGTCAGGTAAATTGAGAAATGAACAAGCAAGCACTACATACTGAGATTGTGGGACGGTCTAAAGCAGTTCTCAGGGGGAAAGGTATATAGACTGAAGCACATTTGTTAGAAAACAAGGTTGAATGGAAATAAGCTAAGTTTCAACTCAAGGGACTTGAAAAAGAATAAAACCCCTCAGAATAGAAAGCAGGGATTTATTAACAAATCATCAACCACAGGGTATGTATTCTATTCGAGTACACTGGGACATTTAAAAAAAAAATTGAGCAAGTACTGGGCCATCAAGTGAGTTTTAACAAATTGTGAACAGAGAATTTGCACTATAAGGACCAGAAAGATAAAATTCCTATATAAATCATTAGCAAACCCAATCAAATGATGTAGTAAAAAGATAACATGTTGGGGAGGCTGGGTGGCTCAGTTGGTTAAGCATCTGACTCTTAATTTCAGCTCAGATCATGATCTTGCGGTCATGAGATCAAGCCCCACATCAGGCTCTTTGCTCAGTGGGGAGTCTGCTTGAGATTCTCTCCCCTTCCCTCCTGCCCCTCCCCACCCCGATAAATAAACAGGAGCGCCTGGGTGGCTCAGTTAGTTAAGCGGCTGCCTTCGACTCAGGTCACGATCCCGGGGTCCTGGGATAGAGCCCCGCATTGGGCTCCCTGCTCAGCATGGAGTCTGCTGCTCCCTCTCCCTCTGCTGTTCCCCCTGCTTGTGCTCTCTTTCTATCGGATAAATAAACAAAATCTAAAGATTTCATTTACTTATCTGACAAAGAGAGACAGCGAGAGAGGGAACACAAGCAGGGGGGAGTGGGAGAGGGAGAAGCAGGCTTCCTGTGGAGCAGGGAGCCCAAAGCGGGGCTCAATTCCAGGACCCCGGGATCATGACCTGAGCTGATGGGAGTCGCTTAACCAACTGAGCCACCCAGGTGCCCCAAACATATTTTTTTTAAGATTTTTATTTATTTGAGAGAGAGAATGAGATAGAGAGAGAGCACGAGAGGGGGGAGGGTCAGAGGGAGGAGCAGACTCCCCGCCGAGCAGGGAGCCCGATGCGATGCGGGGCTCGATCCCGAGACTCCAGGACCATGACCTGAGCCGAAGGCAGTCGCTTAACCAACTGAGCCACCCAGGCGCCCCCAAACATATTTTGTTTTAAGATTTTGTTTATGTGGGGCGCCTGGGTGGCTCAGTTGGTTAAGCGACTGCCATCAGCTCAGGTCATGATCCCGGGGTCCCGGAATTGAGCCCCGCATCGGGCTCCCTGCTCCGCAGGGAGTCTGCTCCTTCCTCTGACCCTACCCCCTCTTGTGCGCTCTCTCTCTCTCACTCTCTCTCTCAAATAAATAAAAAATAAAAAACAAAAAAAATGTTTGTCAAAGAAAGAAAAATACCAAATGTTTTCACTCGTATGTAGAATTTAGAAATGGAACAAATGAGCAAAGGGAAAACAAAAAGAGACAAACCAAGAACCAGACTCTGAACTTTAGAGAAGAAACTGATGGTCACATGGGGTTGGGGGTGGGCGGGGTGGGTGGGAACGTGTGCAACAGGTGTTGGGGATTAAGGAGGGCCCTTGTGATGAGCACCAGGTGTTGTACGGAAGCGAAGAATCGCTAAATTCTACACCTGAGACTAATACTGTACTATATGTTAACGAGCTAGAATTTAAATAAAAACTTGGAAAAAGAGAAAAGAATCGCTAAATTCTACACCTGAGACTAATACTGTACTATATGTTAACGAGCTAGAATTTAAATAAAAACTTGGAAAAAGAGAAAAGAATTAAGAGATGGTTTAAAAGAAAAATCTATTAATAAAATAGACTTGGGAGTACAGAAGACCGATGGAGTACAAAAGAAAAAAATTGCATAATGTGGAAAAAGCACTTGGCAACCTTTTTTAGGAGCTCAGTTACCTTTTGTTGAGCTACAATCTCACTCTATGGATCCCATCAGTCTTTCAAGATGTCTGCCCCACTCCAGCCCATGACACCTTTCAGGCAAGAGAAAGGAGAAGAGTCAGAGAAAAGTACCTCTCTGTGAGGACACTTCTGGAGGCAGTATGCACTTCAGCTTGCATCTCTTCGGTGAGAACTGGTCCCAAGGCAACAGCCCCAAACGGGGCTGAGAAGTGGACTCTATATTCCCGGGGGTCAGATTTCAGCTAAAAGCAAGGGGATTTTACTGATGTGGTGCAGGAGTCAGCAAACAGTGGCCCTCACATGTTTCTGTAAATTAAGGTAAACACCTTATTTATTTATTTGGCAGAGAGAGAGCAAGCGAGCGAGCACAAGCAGGGGGAGCAGGAGAAGGAGAAGCAGACTCCCCACTGAGCAGGGAGCCGGACTGGGGGCTCGATCCCAGGACCCTGGGATCATGACCTGAGCCGAAGGCAGACGCTTCACTGACTGAGCCACCCAGGCACCCCTGTAAATAAAGGTGTTTTTTTTTTTTTTGGGGCGACTCCACTGGGACTCGAATGTAAATAAAGTTTTATTGGAACATGCCATGCTCATTTGTTTACATACTGCTTGTGACTGCTTTCGGGCTAGAGGTAGAATTGAGTAGTTAGGACAAAGCCAGCAAAGCCAAAAATATTTGCTGTCTGACTCTTTGCAGAAAACGTTTGCTGACTCCTGGTGTACCATAAAGGGGAGACTGCGGATTGGGGTCAATTAGAAGTTTATGCCCCACTATTATTAGTGCTGCTGTTTACAACCATCAGGGGATCCTGGCCAAACTGCAGAAAGCAGGAAAATGCATTGGAGGTGTAAGTATTGGAAAGGAAGAGATAACACAACACGATCATTTTACCCAGAAAGTCAACAACCATCAACAAACAATTCGACCTAACAAGAAGCTTTGGCAGGTGTATTGGTCAGCTATCAACACTTGAATCTACAAAGAATATACAAGACAAAAATAAAATTCTTTCCAAGTTAATATATATATTCCGTGCAATAACATACACATATCAGTTGGATTTGTAAAAGCAACTTAATCTTTTTCAAAAATATAGAAAGAGGGGGTGTAGAGATTACTTAAAATATAGATAAAAAAATATATATAGAGAGAAAGATAAAAGTCAATTTGGGGAAAAAAGGAAGCAAAAATCAGGAGAAAGGGAAACCAGACTTACCAGACATTAGAACATATTACACAGGCATAGTCGTAAAAACGATATGGTTTTTAAAACAGACCAGTGGTATGGAAGATGAAGCTCAGAGACAGAATATGCACAAATTAGAACTTAATATACAGTAAATGGACACCTCAAATTGGTGGAGGAAGGATGCTGGGAAAGCTGGTTTTCCATACGAAGGGAAAAAAATCCGTGTCTTGATGTAGGAAAGACGTTAAGTTTCAAAGCTGACGCCCAAGAAAGAATTCTTGAGATTTCTTTGGTGCAAAAGGTGGTTTTATTAAAGCACCGGGCCGGGACCCATGGGCAGAAAAGAGCTGCACCGGGGTCATGAGGAGTGTCCCATTATATACTTTCAAGTTGGGTGCGGGCTAGGGGTAGTGTAAGTCTCTAAGGAATTTGGAAGCAAGGTTTCCAGGACCCTGAGGGGGCTAGCTATTGTTGGGAAAAGGTCATTTATGACCGTCTCATAAAACCTGAGTCATGAGCCCCTTCAGATGTCTATCGGTGGGTCATACGCTTGGGGAGTGATTGCCAAGTTGTATCCTGGGGGGTAGAGATAAATGAAGTTTCCAAAGGAATTTTTATATGTTAAAGTAGACTTACAAGATCCTGGGGGTTGGCTAAGATTGTCTTTTGCCCTTAGCAAAGTGTCAACATCGAGGCGGCTGAGTCCCCAGAGGAATGTCACTCTGCCTGTTTTAAGACTTGTCAATGGGCTGTATATAGTAAGGAAATTTAATAATTTTTTCTTCTGCCTTTGTTTCCCCACTCATCATACCTAAAATCACATACAGAGGTGGATGCTGGATAGATTCAAGACCTAAACAGAATAAAGTACAGTACAGAAGTAATAAAAGAAAAAAAGAAAAAAAAAAGAAGGAAGGATTAGTCTTGTTATCAAGGGGTACACAAGGACGTCATAAATAAGACCTCTAAAGCAAATACCCAAAAGCCAAAAAAATTTTAGCGAAATTGACTGCATGAAAATGAAAAATTTCAGCTCAGTGACGGTGTATCAGGTACCCAACAAGAAACAGACAGCATACATGAAATGGGTAATTGGAGGATTTTTTAAAAAGATTTTATCCATTTATTTGCCAAAGAGAGAGAGAGCGAGCACAAGCAGGGGGAGCAGCAGGCTCCCCGCCGAGCAAGCCCCCCCTCCCCCCATGCAGGACTCAATCCCAGTCATGACCCGAGCCAAAGGCAGATGCTCAAAGGACTGAGCCACCTAGGCATCCTGGAGGATTTTTTTTTTAAGATTTTATTTTAAGTGATCTCTAATCTCTACACCCAACATGGGGTTTGAACCCACAACCCTGAGATCAAGAGTTGCATGCTCCACGACCGAGCCAGCCAGGTGCCCCTGGAGGATGTTTTAATAAACATTTACGAAACGATTTACGAAAGGATGAGCAAGATTAGGGAAGCCACAAGAAATAGGGCAGGGACCCAGGTATCCCACAGGGGGGAGTTGTTAGCACCTCCAGGAACCCAAGAAGAGAGAGATCCCCCTTTCCCCCAACAGGAGCTGCGTCTGTCAGTCCGTTGTGACTTTTGGTTGCCAGAGGCAGCTACTTCCCAGCTGGTTGGCAGGGAAGGACCTGGTGGAGTCAATATCCTCACTTCCCTCCTCTTTCTGTCTCAGATTTCCGCTGCCACCAGAAGCCAGGTGGCAAGGGAGAGATTTGATGCAGCCAAACAGCTCAGCCTCCGAGGCCAAAGAACGGCGGTGTGGAGAAGGGCAGAAACCCAGCGGAGAAGGAGCCCGGAGGCCAAGGGAAAATTTCAACAGTAGCAAAAGATATAAAGATGCAGTCCCCAGGGAAGGAACTCCTGAGTCTAATGTAGTGTAGTGTAACTTAAACCATCAATGAGCCCTCTCTTGACAGCCATCCGAGTGACAAAAACTAGAGCTGAAGTCAAGTGCTGGCAAGGATGTGGGAAAGCAAGAACCTC